GTCACGCCATTCCCATTGATCGCGTGAACAACTCCAAGAACTTCGTAATGACTTCAAAGCGCAAACAAAGTGGACTTACATTCAAATGCAATCAATGCTATTATAGCACACATTCAAAGGGAAATCTTAAGCAACACATGAATACTCACTCAAAGGACAAGCAATTAGCCCGCAGTCACAGCTCCGGTACTCCGCCGAAGGCTTTAGGTTTAAATAGAAAATCAAAGAAATCACCAGAAATTTCTGCGACCCATCGCCGAGCCTATCAACTCCTGGAGCGACAGGTATCGCAGTCGTCGCGTTCAGACACCTCTACGACAGATAGAGATACCGTTCCTCTTAAGACCGATGACTTGGTTTGGGCCAAATGCAGGGGTTATCCCTGGTATCCGGCGATTGTGGTCGACCCCAACCGCACTAAAGACTTCAATGGAGCTCCCGTTCCCCCACAGAATGTATTGCTATCTCTACCTGAAAGGCATTCAGAGGACCACTATTTGGTGAACTATTTCGATGAAAAGCGGGTTTGGTATGCATTGAATGGCTTTCCGTTTGATTATGTGTTTTATGTGACAATTAACTGATTTGTTTGTGTAGGCAATGGTTGCCCCGCAATAAGTTGGAGCCATTGGGTGTCGACAAGGATTTCGACGAAAGAAAGTTAAATGAATGCAAAAAAGCGTACGAAAAGAAATTGGTTGAGAAGGCATTCACTGCTGCACTCGAGTTCGACACCTGAATACAGGGTTTCACTCAATGTTTTGAGAGTAATATTAGATATGATGTTAAATTACTTTAAGGTTTAAAGAGATTTTAACTTTTATGATACAATTATTGTATTTAATATATCCAATAGTAATGATAAATAGTTTATTTTATGCTATTTTATTTTAGTTTATTAAACTTCCATTTCCCACTACCGTACAAATATGTATACCGTACAAAAACTTAAACATTTACCGTATATACGGTAATAAGAAATTATATACAGCACCCATTTGATTGAAAACATATATTTTTGATATTAATGTGTTATTTAAATGTTTAATAATGATAATTTATAATTAACATTAACTGAGTAATTCATAAATTAGTAACGACCAAATCATGTTATGTTTAAATTATAGCATATACCGTATAAACTCATTGATAACAAAGTAAATGTTGAATATATTATGTGATAATTATATTAAATTATAAATTGAATGTAAACTTACTTAACGAATAAAATTCAATCATTTTTATACACTATAGAATCGCTTTGATGTTTACGGCGTTTATGGGCTCTCAAGACATTGATGTTAACGGTGTTGAACGCACAGCCCTTCCAATCGCATTCATACATAACCCTCGAGTGGGTCAACATATGCTGTTTGAGGACTGACTTAGTCTTAAACCTGAGCGCACACTCGGGCCACTCGCAGGGTATGGGCTTATCGGTGGTGTGCGTCACTCTGTGCTGCTTCAGGTTGTCGGCCCTATTGGACCGGTACTCACAGCCGGGCCACTCGCACGCGTAGCACTGGGGCTGCTCGTGGGTCGAGTGGTGGCGCCTGATCTGCCACGGGTAGAGGGACTGGTAGTCACATCCGGGCCAATGGCAGCGCAGGCACGTCAGGCCCGAGTGCTTATAGCGCCGGTGGTTGAGTAGAGTCACGTCGTACTTGAATGTGAGTCCACATCCCGGCTCATCGCACCGGTAGGGCCGCTCGCCCTCCGAGTGGGTCATCCGGTGGGTCAGTAGGTAGCGCTCCTTCGCGAAGCTCTTACCGCAGTCCACGTGATCGCAAACGTAGGGCTTTTCGCCGTGATTTCGGTCCACATGTCTCTGGAGTGCCGTCGAGGTCATGAAGTCTTTGCCGCACGCGATGTCGGTGCATAGGAAGGGCCGATCGGCCGAGTGTTTCACCATATGTTTCAACATTTGGTGCTTTTGCGTGCACTGGTAGTTGCAGTCCGTTGTCTCGCATTTCACGGGTACGTCCATCCCGTGCGTCAAGTGGTGTCTCTGGCGGTGCTGTTTAGTGGCAAACACTTCATCGCAGTTGAGGTAATCACATGAGTAGCTCTTCGGACCCTTTGTGTACTTCCTCTTAGGCTTAGACTTGGATTTCAATTCACTTTTCAATCGATACTTGAGTTTAAGTTTGTTTTGAGTTAACTTTGGCTTCAGGTCTATGGCGTGGACTTCGATGACTGTGTCCTGAGTTTGGTCTTCACTTTTGATATGCTTTTGTGGCATAAGTTGTGGTCTTTTCCGGGCGAAAGACTTGATGACAACCGGTGACTGACATACAACACGTTGTCTCGTATTGAATAATGTCTTGTAATCGATGTCCAACTGATCCAATAAATCAAAAGTCTGTTTATTTTGATCACAAAAACAATTGGTTTTCAAATCCAATGAATATTTTCGCAAATTTTCTAACATTTC